CGATGCAAACAAACCAACCTAGCATTTAATGGAAAGCAAACAAGTAGAATTGACGCAGAATATCCAGCAAACCAACGGAAACGGACCGACCAAATAAAAGAGAATGATGTTTATCAAAATAAAAAGGTCCAATTTAAGTGTAAGTCGATTAAGCCCAACTGCGGTGAAGAAGCGTCATGTATGGGACATCAAGCTAAGCATCAGCCACCACATGCAACAGACAGCGCGTGGATAAATGCGAATGATTTGAGGCTGGGCAATAGATTTCTCGCGCTCAAAATCCACTATGGTTTCCCTGATTAAAAGTAAACATACCCAATTAAATACCAATACAAAAGCAACGCGTCTAACAAGAATTGATAAAAGATGCACAAAGTAGCAGATTGCAACTCACATCGAAACAGTTCTCCAACTGTTTGCAATGGTGTTCGTTCATTATAACATTACCCTGAAAAATTGCTCTTTGGCCAGTAGAATTAACCTGAATGACAAAAGAGTTGCTATGAGAGCAAACTAGTTGAGCCGTTACTCAACTACTTTGAGTCTTGCGTGTGCCGCACATTTGCGCAAATGTGTAGGTGCGTGTATAGCCCAGCACCTTCAACTACTAAGGCACAGTGTGCGCACCTGAGTATACGCACCGTCAGTCAAAGGGATGCAAGTGGGACGCTTCATCTCCTACCTGCTACAGTGTCGGTGACCGAGGCACCATGTGAGCCTATGTTTCTCTGTCCAAGGAAGCGATTCCTACCAATTAGGACGAGCGTAGGGTTTTGAACGACGATTGGGTTGGAATACTGCGCCATAGCCAAATAAGTTTGCCGTGTGCTTATGAACGTGCATTTAAACTAAATCCAATGGTGGTCTTGTATGCGCGTTACTCGGTAGTAGTAAAGAACATAATACTGAAAGCGTACGAGGAAGGAGGCGATTGGAAGCAGGTCGCTTGCACACTGAAGGTGAACGTGGAAACTTACCGCAAATGGATACGGGTGTACGAATCGATGGAACAGGTGGGGCCGCACCGGGAGTCTGTCGCAGAACACTGGGAGAAAGCCACATCGACTCTCTGGTTGAGTCGGTTCCTGCGGAGCCTACCGTTACCCTTGAATTACTTCGCTTGCGGTTGAAGGCGGAGTTCGACATTGCAGTAAGTACCAGTACCGTCTCACGCTACTTGGATGGTAGATTGATAACAATGAGTCCATGAACACGCTGGAGAACAAAATGTGACGCAGACCGTTCGTTTGCAGCTCATGGATTACGATGTGGAAGGAAGGCAATCAGTGTGGATTGATGAGACAAACTCCAAATTATTTTGTGCCCGCACTCATGGACGGTCACGAATGCTGGCGCCCGATGTGGTAACCGAGCGCAGTGTACAGTGGCCAAAAGCCGGGGACCGAATGTTCATCTTGTCGGCGCACGGTAACCTGTGAGCGGATACTACACCAACTGCGAAATATAGCATACTATTACAGTACTATTATAGCCGCTGAAATGCACCAAGGTATATGCAGATCGCATAGTCCGATCATCTTCAATGTCCCAGACACAGATTTATTGATATCTGTGATGTGTACCCAATTGAAGTTTTGCATTCGAACAGGGATTCGCTGTGGTTTGACACTACTCCCCAAAGGGTCTCAGGAGTATAGCTGTCCAGCTGTGTTTAAATCCAAGTTCATGCAATAAGTGGAGTGGCAACTACTTTCCCGCCCTACGGGGTGGAAAAATCATCAATCATACTGAGGGCAGCATAGGCACGTGAAGGCCACACGATCGGTAAAGTGCACAATAGTTTTCGACGTAAAATGAAGTGCATGTGATGAAAGTGGCCACTATGGGACAAATAAGAGGATCACTGGGAAGAACGTTTGCACAGGTGTGACACATGGCGCAAACGTGTCGTTGGTCAAGCAGAGTAACACTAAAAGATTCAACCCATTGCTTAGCCAGATATGTTGTCTTTTATATTTGGTATCGAACAACCAACAGTAATAAAAATGCTGCCCCTGCTACATGCAGCGCAGGGCGTCCCGTCTCCCCCACCCCCATACTGCGCCTCTGCAAACGCAATAGGTAGATGTATCCACAGCAGATCTGTCATCTCTTCATCTACATAATGCAAACCTCCTTCATTAAGCACCATCAAATGTTGTGAGTCCAGGAACGACACCATAGCTCAATCATTGATAGTCACTCATGCAAACTCAAACCGAAAGCATTGAAAACCAAACCGCTTACACCGGAGGAATTATGGACGTAAAGTAATCGCTCATTTTCGCGCGAATAACGGTGGAACTAAGTCTCGGCGAATCGCTCGCCTGGTGTAAAATGTGTCGCAAGAACGCACGGACCGGTTTGGGTCACGCGGAACCATTTATCACTGTGTAGGCGCTACTATCTGACGAGTACATGTGATTCACCGAAGCGAGTACATTTTATTTGCGGCTTCAGAGCACGTTCACACCGCAACCCGGTGGTTTGTTCGCATACAGTCCGCAACTGACAAATACCCATCCAGAAAAATTTCCTTAGAGACCGTGACAAATGTTAGTTGCGCTTGCCCTACATGCTCTGCGTTTCCGCATTGATCACCCTTGCACGAGATCAAGGAGCGTCCAGCCGCCTGCGTTGGTGCAACCGGTTAAGTAATCCGGCAACGACCACACGCACTACCCATGTTCGTCAAGTCTACATAATTCAAGTGTCTTATTTACTATCCCATTGTCAAAATCCTTAGCCACTAGCCCTCCAAACACAAACAACGACAGGAGGTAAAACATACTTGCTTGCCACACAACCGTGTTAGAGTGGCATCTATTTGTCCAGCTCACGAATGATTGTTCTTCAACGCGGTAACTAAAACGGGTATGCGACGCGACCACAGGCAGCAACCTACCGGAAATCCACGATGTTCCCCCGAATAGAGAATTGGCTATTGCTAGCAGCGTATAAAGTGCACTCTGACCCGTCATCATAATAGAGTAAGAACAACACTCGTTGCAAACAGGTAGTTTAGTGCCAGCGGCATGTTTTACAGATCAGTCAAATGAACAACACGTCCATAATTCTCACTGGCATGCTGAACCATCTGTTCGCAGTGCTGCTGCGTCACTAGGGCCCGTGCTGCCAACACCGCATGCTCCAAAATACGACTGCGCCACTAGCTCTTCGCAGAACTCCTTTAGGGTCTCCCAGGAGCATTTCGGAGTACCGTCTCCACATTTTCTGTGTAACATGAGCCTTTATTATGCTCCAGAGGCCCTTGTTGGGATTGAGTGCCGGAGAGTATGGCGCAAGGCGTAGAAGTCTCCCAGCGCGGTACGGTTCCTCCAGGAAAACGTGCTCCAGGTGCGTGTGACAGGGCGCTTTGTCACAAATCAAAAGACACCTTTTCACAAACCCTGCTCCGTTGGTATCAAGCATTTGTCGCAGCCACCGATCATATATTTGCTTGTTGTAACTTCCTCATAAAACCGAACACGCTATCAAATCGTTGTTTGTCATGGCGTCGAGAAGATGAACATTCGGTCCCCGGCTGTTCGCCAAAGTACATTGCGCTCGGCTACCACATCTTGTGTCAGCATTCGTGACCGCCCATGAGTGCCGGCGCAAAATAAGTTGGAGTTCGTCTCATCAATCCACACTGATTGCCTTCCTTCCACATCGTAATCCATGAGCTGCAAACGAACGGTCTGCGTCACATTTTGTTCTTCAGTGTGTTCATGGACTCATTGTTGTCAATTTACCATCCAAGTAGCGTGAGACGGTACTAGTACTTACTGCAATGTCAAACTCCGCCTTCAAGCGCAAGCGAAGTAATTCAAGGGTAACGGTAGGCTCCGCAGGAACCGACTCAACCAGAGAGTCGATGTGGCTTTCTCCCAGTGTTCTGCGACAGACTCCCGGCGTGGCCCCACCTGTTCCATCGATTCGTACACCCGTATCCATTTGCGGTAAGTTTCCACGTTCACCTTCAGTGTGCAAGCGACCTGCTTCCAATCGCCGCCTCCTTCCTCGTACGCTTTCAGTATTATGTTCTTTACTACTACCGAGTAACGCGCATACAAGACCGCCATTGGATTTAGTTTAAATGCACGTTCATAAGCACACGGCAAACTTATTTGGCTATGGCGCAGTATTCCAACCCAATCGTCGTTCAAAACCCTACGCTCGTCCTAATTGGTAGGAATCGCTTCCTTGGACAGAGAAACACAGGCTCACATGGTGCCTCGGTCACCGACACTGTAGCAGGTAGGAGATGAAGCGTCCCACTTGCATCCCTTTGACTGACGGTGCGTATACTCAGGTGCGCACACTGTGCCTTAGTAGTTGAAGGTGCTGGGCTATACACGCACCTACACATTTGCGCAAATGAGCGGCACACGCAAGACTCAAAGTAGTTGAGTAACGGCTCAACTAGTTTGCTCTCATAGCAACTCTTTTGTCATTCAGGTTAATTCTACTGGCCAAGGGGCAAGTTGACCGAGAAATTTTATTGTGTTTGAGTGTCACCTATCTTGATGCTGGGAGCCTAACTTTCCTTTGTTGTCTACATACGTAATATTGTGAACCTTTTTCAGCCATTTCCGTTTTTGAACTTTGCGGGTTCCTCATGAATTCATACCTTTGCATAATTGTCGCCGAATATACCGACTACCTTTCTGTACATCGTTAACTGGTTTGCGGATGGCGTTCCATGTTGGCTGACGGAACCTGAGAATTGAATCTGTACTCTAATGACACTTGATCCCTTTTGGTATTACGTCGCCGTTAAGATGCAGTCATTACGAGTTTGAACTTCCTTGTTCTACAGTCTACTTTTGCTTATGGCACAATCCAGATGAATGTATCTTTCACGTTCTTTCATAAACATCCCTTGGGTAACTACTGCTACAGTATGGTTACCATCGCTCATGAATAAGTTTTTATAAAACGTTTGTTATCAGCAATGCGTGACATGCCCATCAAGCGTGATCAGCAATTGAACTTACCCTTTGCGCACAGGTCATCTGTAGGTAGTTGCCACGGAACGCTCTATCTTTGGACAAGACTCCTCTGCTGTACCCATAACGCTCGACATCTGCGACACCAAGGCACCTGCAATTCACGCGATCCAACGTCAACCATGTTCCGGTTTGGCGAAGTTCAAACGCGATCTCACTTTCTTCGCCGGTACAATACCGATGATGGAAGGAATAAATTGGGGTGCAAAAATGAGCCTGAAATTCATAGTCCCGCATGTCTGTTGATATAAACAAAGTAAAAACAGTTAGCAACTATTGCGGAATTCCCTGCAAATATCTGAATTAGTTAAATACAGAAGAATGGGTATAACCTTGGATTCGAAGGGCCGGCAATCACAAACCTATCCAACTGGATCCATAAGCAAGTATTGGGTGCACACGCTTCAAAATTGCGCTTGGTCATTGTTATGATCTATCAATTCTTTGATTGCACAACAGTGGAATAAGGTAGTATTTGTGAACCACTTAAGAACGGAGTCTCAGTAATACATTTAACCTAGCATGACTCATAACATATATGTGGGGTTAATTGTCCAGTCCGATCGTGCAAAATTTTAACAGCTAATGACATATGAAGAACAATTGCGAAGTGAAATTATTGCGAGTTAATCATTGCTGGAGAAGGGAGTACCCTATGTTCAAACAAGTAGAATACAACCAACAAGTGGTAAATTAAAGTTCGGTCTTTTCAATCGACCATCTGCCTCAGGTAGAAAATTATTACTGCGAGGCTAAAATTTCTCTGGTGATCCGTCTCCGAGTTAACTTGCCGTGAACAAGTTGCCCGAACCCAGGGATCATACGAAGGGCCAAACTTCTGTCACATCAGAGCTACTCGAGCCTGCGAATTTAGAGGGCCTCGCCGTGGCGCATATGCGCATATACAAACCCTAAGGAATGGTATCAGGTGCTTCAATAATATTCCCTACAGCAGCGAGTTAGAAAGGCATCAGGAGTACTCCGGTACACAGTACTTCCGCTTCGCTGCCTGACTCAAAAGAACAATGATCAACCAGAGAGCCCATACAGGCGCTACCTGCATGCCCTGCTTTGCAGGCATGTATTCATAATTCAAGTGAAACAATTTATTACAGAAAATTGCCTAACTCACTGAGCAGTTACAAAGTATTAGTCACAGAAGGCTTATCAATGGTGATTAGGCCGTTAGTGACATGTTCTGATAAGATGATACTGCTTTTAGTTTTGTTTGGTGATAAAATTATGACCTAATCCTCGTACTTATACTTACTCCTCGTAAAATTCCATTTTGCCCCCTGGGGGTAATAACCCCCAGGCTGAGAGCCACTAACTTAGCCTTTCAAACTGATTAATCGGATTATTGGTCAGCGCGTATTCGGCACGAAATTTTCGTCCACTGGGGAGCCTGACAACCACAGGAATCATAGTTACCGCCATATCTGGGAATTGCGTCAGGCTACTCCAGCGCCAATAATTGTGTCCACCAGAGAAAAGGCGAGTCTTGCGGGACAATAGTTGACACCATTTATGATCGAGACAAAGTTAGTAAAAATCTTATCTTAGCATTGTCCACCGTTGACTTCAGGACAAATGACAAATGCGCCGAATTCTCAGAAGATGTTCCAAAGGATATATTACAAAATGGGGTGCATCTGGTGTAGGAATAATCTCGCTATAACATTTTCACGTTGTGAAGCACAATTTACGGAAATTAGGAGGCTCGCTCAACTTGGTATCACTATTCTTCTAACTAGTGGATTAATGGAAACTTTGTCTCGAGCAGTTTCTCAAGTCGTGTTAACACCGTATCCTCAGGTCTTTTCGATTTGAGCATGGGGACAATAGTTTGATGAGTGAATGGTGCAAAATCTAAACTCTAACACAACCGATATAAAACTTTAAAACACGAGACTTAGAAATAGGATTAAACAGAACGTGCCGCTGGTGGTGTTAGCATCTATTTCTTGATTCAGCACAAGAAGCAATAAGTGTTGCAGTTACTGGCCAAAATGCACAATCAGTGCCAATTTCCTGACAAGTCGTAACCACCTCAGGTGGGTCGTGAACCCTACGTGATTGATCATTTCAGACAAGTCACCGTTCTGGGTATTCTAAACGAGCGGACGTAATCGTGGCATTTCAGTTTCAGATTCTTGCTCCTCAGTAATTTTGGATAACTAAAGCGACTTAGCAGATCTTTAAGCAAAATATCCATTGAAGTTGGATCGTAACCCACGTACCATCGGTTCCGACAAGTTTGAACGTCAGTGCTTGGGAGTCTTGTGGCGGAAGCCATGTAAGTGGACAGCTTGTTCCACCGAAGCAGTCCTGCCTGCGTTGTACCAGTGGCCCAGTGGCACTGTAGTATTTTGGCATGTTGAAGATACCGCCACGTTCTAGCCATGCGCAGGGGGTGACGGTGCGCTGATTTCACAGTGAAGACCCAGCAAAGGAAACGGGGAAGGAAGGAGAGAAAAGTCCAAGTGTAGCACGGCAGATATTTTTACGGTTGCTATGAAAAACTAACCCAGGTGTTAACCAAGTAGACTTCACTATATATATGAAACATGCCATGTTTGTAGTCAATTTGTTCTGAATATGCAACTCACTTTGACATTTGGGCGTCGTTTCAGTGGTTTTCTCACAATATAGTGACTTGAATCATTTCACCCTCTGTGTGAATCCGAGATGATGAACATTATATTCTCGTTTTCACTCGGTAGGATTGATACCAGGTTTGACAGTTCATTAACTGCTCATCATGATGTTGAACATTAGGTAACTCCTTGTCCTTAAGTTTTGAGTCTCCGAGATTACCACATTATAAACATAAAGCTGGAGCGCACCTCAACAATTCTATCAATAACTCACCAAGTTGCCATGATTGTTAAAAGAACTCATTTTCGCGTTTTCGAGCAATCGACAACACGTGCTACTTGTGTTGCCACCACACTAACAACATACCTGTGGTAAGTACACAGTAGGAACTAAGACAAAATGAAAGTGATTTCAGACACTGAAGTAACACGCACCCATAGAATATTCGTATCATTAACGGACCACAGTTATGGACAGAAACCTGGTGATTGCAGGAGCGGTTGAAATGAGGCGCTTAAATTTGAATGTATGTACCTGATGGGCTAAAACTAAGACCGTTCTGTGGTGTCCGAAGTGATGAACAATCATGGCTATTTCTTTCGTACGGTTGTAGTTTCAGTTTGAAGAGTCACAGCGGCGGTTAGTTGAGCTGCTGTCACAAAAGCTCAACATCCAAGTGGAATGGGAAAGCTATCGAGGCAGGCATCACGGGAAATTGCATTGGAATGCCAAGGGCTGCTCAGTTTTAACCATGATCTAAAAATTCTTGAAGTTTCAGACCCCAGAAGTGAACACCAGTTCTGTCACGCAGCTATTAATGGCCAAACTATGAATCCAGATGTGCCGAACTGGAAGCTCCGACTACGTTTGGGAACGGTGGTCAAAGGCATTGTGCAGAAGCTTAAACCTAAAAAATTCATCAGTCAAAAGGCGCACAAATACAGATGCATGTGTACTCCGAGATTGCAAGAAACTTCCGAATTCAAGCGAAATAGGTTTCGCGGCGCAGTGAGGGAAGTGACTTCTGCAGTATTTCTTGGAGACTTTTCAGGAAGACGAAATACTCTACAGTGAAATGCAACAATGTTCCGGCATCGCTGCGAAAAGCAAAGGTGCATGCTATCAATACCATTTCTCTATCGACTCGGGCAAGACTTGGCACCTCGTGAGTCAAACCCATAATTCTAAAGGTTCGAAAGCTTTCAGCAGAACCTATACAGCTGAAAGGAAGAATAGCCTGTGAAAGCAGGCTCAAAAATTGGCAGTGCTATTGAAATAGATACACGGCACTCTGCGCCAAGCTTAATCTGCCCGGAACCGATTGGATTACGAAGTTAAAGTTACCCAAAGTGTCTATGAGTCATGTGAGTTCTGTAATAATTCTTACTGTCTGCAATAGTGGCCGTATCCATTCTAAATAATCCTGCGTTTACAAGTTACCTTTACGGACAACACTACTGTCTTGGCCGTCACCCGAACCGACATGGCCGTGGATCCAAGTGGACCCTGAAGGGTTCACCCGTCGGAAGAGGAATGTGGATCAGATGTAACTTTGTTTCTCAAGACGTGGAAGGTGTTAGCAGAGCAATAAAAATGGATTCCTGCTTGATCCGTGGCCTAAACAGAGTAACATGCACTAGGTACAGCCACATTCTCGTCTTCGGGGACTTCAATCTACACAATCTGGTTTCGGCATCGCCCAGTGAGCAGTTCAAAGCAGACTTGCAGGAACTGATCGCTAATATTCCTTTGTACAATCATGTCACCACGCCCACTAGATTCAGGACAGCAAACAAACCGTCCATATTGGACCTTATGCTCACAAACGAAGAGCTCATGATTGACAAGTTATTGATGGATAGTCCATTAGGTCTCAGTGACCATGTAGTAATAACTTTTGACTATGTGTGTTATGCAGAGTATCCATCTGAACACTCGGAACTAACTCATGCAATCACACGTTACCACGTATTGAAAGAACTCGCCGACGCAGCTGCTTGGGAATTCTCAAACAAAAGTCCCCTTGACAACGTTTGGGCAGAGTTCGTTAATAAACTCAGCGACATCGTCAACAAAGCATCAGAGACCAAACCCCTTCGTCCCCCGAAAATGCCTTCAATTATAAGGAGTAGGACTCGCAAATGCCTGGCGATAAGGGATGCAGCATGGCGGGCCTACAAGATTAACCCCGACTCAGAGACTTGGGGAAATTTCCTGACCCATCTCAACCATTGCACTGCGCTTGTCCGTGAGGACAAAGTAACTTATCAACAGTGCCTAGCCAAAAAGTTCATGGCAAACAACAAACTGCTGTATAAGCATGTCAATAAGCTTCGTAAAGTGAAGCATGGAATACCCCCACTATTCACGACAGGCGGTAGAGTACAAAGCGCCGAAGAAGCAGCTAATTTCCTGCGGCTGCAATACGCCCCAATTTTTGAACTCATAACATCTACCTGTCCCATAATATCAAGCTCATTACCGACACCTTTGTTTACAAATGTTATTTTCAACCCATCAATTGTGCTAAGGAAGTTACTCTCACTGCGTGAACATAGTTCTCCGGGAGCAGACAACATCCACCCAAAGGCACTGAAGGCTGTGGCCACCAAGCTAGCTGAACCACTGTCACAGTTCTTTCAAAGGTGCTTTGATGAACAACAAGTCCCCACTATGTGGAAGTGTGGCATTATAACCCCTATTTTTAAAGGCGGTAGCCGTTCCGATCCTGCAAACTATCGTCCAGTGACTCTCCTCCCTGTGCTCGCGAAGGTGATGGAAGCAGTCGTCGCTGACACTTTAATGGACTACCTAGAAAAATGCAACCTTTTGGTACCGGAACAGCACGGCTTCCGTCAACACCGGTCATGCACCACCAACGTACTTATTGCACGAGGTAGTTGGACGGAAGTGGCCGATGATGGGGTCGGAGTCGACGTCACCTATCTGGACTTCTCCAAAGCTTTCGACCGCCTTGATCACCGCATCCTACTTCAAAGACTACAAAGTTACGGAATCGGAGATCCTGTACTTGGTTGGATTGGCAACTTCCTTTACCAACGAAAGCTTCAAGTACGTGTTAGGGAATCACTTTCTAACCCAATTGAGGTGGAATGTGGTGTCCCACAAGGCTCAGTGCTGGGACCGCGTTTATTCCTGGTGTTTATCAACGACCTGGCAAGAGTCATCTCCTCAAACTTCCTGCTTTTCGCCGATGACGTCAAGTTATGGCGGGCGATTACTAACAAGGCAGATCAGGATCTGCTCCAACATGACCTAGATTGCATTTACGAATGGTCAAAGAGGAACAAGCTTCAATTGAACATGGCTAAGTGCAAAGGGATGCATCTGCGTCACCAGCCGGTGAGGGCTTACAAGATTGAAGACCACACCTTGGCGAAGGTCGCTCAGGAGCGTGACCTGGGTGTATTGGTACAGCAATATCTCGGGTGTTCAAAACAAGCAGAGAAGGCGACGAGAACCGGAAATCAACACTTCGGCCTTCTTCGCAGAGCCTTCGGTCGGTTTGAACCAGCAATATTTCCCCAAATGCTTAACGCCTACGTGCGACCTCACGTGGAATATGCTATTCAGGCGTGGCAGTCGTGGCAGAAACAGGATCTTGTTGCCCTAGAGACTCCTCAACTACGCCAACCAAGAACGTCAGGGGCCTCTTTCATCTGCCCCATCAGCTTAGACTGAAATCTCTAAGAATGTACAGCAGTTGATATCGGCTTTTGCGGGGGGATCTCATAATGGTTTACCAGATTCTGAAGAACCCACACCACATTTGCCGTCCGCTGCTGGAATTGAACAACAACACTAAACTAAGAGGTCACCCTCTGAAACTGACAATTCATGATAGCCGGCTTGAATGCCGTAGAAATTTCTTTTCTCTCCGCGTGTGCCAGCCTTGGAACGCCCTCCGTAATTATGTCGTCTCTGCTCCCAATCTGGCGATATTTAAAAAACATGTTGACGATGCATTGTCTCACTTACATTTCATTTTATGACTTGTTAGCCAGGGGCTACAAAACGCAATCAAACGGTGTCTTGCCAAACGCCTAACCAATGGATTGATGGATTTATACGTTTAATACGCGAACATCTCCGCTATTCCGCATAAGTCTATGGTGAGTCCAAGACAACGCTTTTCACTTTATTATGCAATTGATTTTCGCAATAATTTCCATCCCACGGGACTTGTTAAGCAATGCTTTTTACCCGTAATAAACCATCGTTCCGTTTTTCCATTGGTATGTTTGTGTAGCTGTTAATGACTAGAAACTTTCGTTTTGCTCTAGTGGTTCACGAATGTATTATTACCGCGTCAGTTCATGATCCCTATTCGCCATTTGGAGCCGTTGTTTTTGCCTTCAAATCGCAGTCATACTGGATACCGAACATTAAATACTGCGAATAGAGAGCGAGAAGATAAAATTCTGTGGTACTCCCTCGTAGGTGTATCGGCCACATGCGCGGAATTACGTCGCTGATTCCTACGCGGTGACAGCGTGTCGCAGCTATGAAAAATGAACAATGAATTTATATGGGTTAAGAAGCGTTGCTTTACAATTCCCGTTGTACATTTGGTGGGGATATCGAAATTATAATAATAATGATAATAATAATAACACAGCAGGTATTCTAAATTTGGAAATAAGGACTTATCGTTTGCTCCACGGTAGTCCTGCAATCCGCTTGGATGCACAGCACTCACAGTTAACCTCAAATAAATCCATAGTAAACTCCAGGTGTAGGATCGAGGCGTAGCGCTAAGTGACAAAGTGTAAGTGGATGAGTGCGTCATCCAACCGTCTTTTAAA